GATAGTGAGAAAACGGAGCCATAGTTGAAAATATGTGCGACAGAGAAAGAGAGAGGACAAAGATAGACTATAGAAGAAGAAGAGAGTATAGTATTAAAGTCGATTTTTAAAATAAAATAGAAACTATAAATTAAATTAAATATAAACAAATTACAACAACAAATTATGTAATACGTTGTAAAATTAAAAATTGAAACATTAAAATCAATGCAGAAATTAATAAAAGTGGTAGTAATAAAAATTAATAACATATCGACAACAATAATAATATTTATGGTACAATAATAAATACAACAACAGGCAGTTATCTATATTATAAACTTTGGACAGAATGTATTATAATTGAAATCGCAAAACGCTTTATATGTAATGCACCAACAATGTAGGAACACAAAGTGCAAGAGCAACAATAACAATAACGACACTATTAAGAGCATATAGAATGCATTTAACTTCTTTGACTTGCCTAAGTGCATGCTAGTGCCGGCCGAATGGCGTCTCCTGATCGCAAACTGGTTGTGGTTGGGTGGCAGCAGCAGACGACCTTAGGGAGGGGCCTGAACGTTTTGCAACACAACAAGAATTAAATGCAGCAAAATAAAAAACAACAATTGTTGCATCAAGAATAGGCAAGCAAACAAGCAAGGCGGTAAAACTGGTCGAACAGGCTGCGCATTTGGCAATTAAAAATCGTATATGGGCATATGCTATGTACATATACATATATATATGTATGTAATTGCATGTATGTGACTATGTACGCTTGTGCATGTGCGTTGCATTCCTATCACAAGCGGCAGAGCTGTCTGGTGTGCGCTAAATTTTTTTTTAAAAAGTATAATAATTTGCGTTGACAATGTTAGAGAAAATTAAAAAAATAGAGAATATCAGAATATTTTAATGTGAAAATTATTAAATTTTAAATAAACTTTTTTATAATTTTTTTTATAATATATTTTTCATAATTTTTTAAGATTTTCTATTATAATTTTCTTATTTTTTTATTATAATTATTATTAAATTGTGCGTATTAATTTTTTTATGTTCATATTTTATCTATTCTTTTTTAAATATTTTTTTTTCTGATTTTTTTAGTAAATTTTATTAGCTTTTAAAAATTTTTTAGTTAAAATTTTGTATTGAATTAAAATTATTATTTTTACATTTTTTTCTTTTAAGTTTTTTTCTCTTGTTGCAAACCCTTCTCTGGTCATTTACTACTTGTGGTACTTTAACTCATTTTAATTTTATTTAATTTTTTATTGAGCACTGCGACACGCACTCAGTTATTGGCCATTGACGCGCTGCGCGACGTGTCGTGCATTTGAAGTTGAAATCCACGAAATAAAAAAGCAACAGTAGTACATAAGATCTAAGTGAACTATAGACTGTAGATATAGCCAAAAACAATGGGTTTATAATCGTTTGTACTTACATATATACACACGCGCATATAAGTGTTATATATCTCGATTTGCGCTGGTAATTGGTGTTGATGTTACTTTTTTTGTTTTGCTTTTTTGGGTTTTGTGCTACTTCATTTTTTATGTGCTTGCAAATATTTAGCTTTGCTATCAACATCACGGTTAGCCTTCTAATACAGTTATACCCTTAACCTTCATATGAAATAAACGCGCAGTGAAAACTATACTGCGCAGGCACGGTTGACTATTATAACTTTGGCACAAAGTCAAAATTTGTAAGAAAGAGTAAAAATATATAATCAAAATATAAAAAATTATACATTTAATAAATTTCAAGAAATAAATATAAACATTTCAAAATTTTACTTAGTCTCTTTAAAAAAAAATTAAAATAATTTCATTAAAATTATATGTAAATTCTTAGCTCATAATAAACTCTCAAAAAAAAAACAAAAAAAAAAATAAAAAAAAGTTAATTAACTTAAAAATATATATTTTAGTAATATTACTATTATGAATGATTTTTGTTGACGGAATCGGAATCAAAAAAATTCGATTTAAATACCGAAAATAATAATGTGTAATATACATTAAATAAAAAAATAAAATTTTACTGAGGAATTTTTGAAAATTATAAAATAAAAAAAAAAATACAAAAAATATTTAATCAAAAATTTTATAGAAAAATTTATAGCTTTAAAAATTTTGACATTTTTTTTAATTTTAAGAGCCAATGAAAATAAACAGAGACGAGCTTTAGTGTATCTCCCCGAAACTTTTCGAAAGTAAAAATGCTGTTATTCTTGTAAAAAGCTGCAATATTTGATTGCTAAATTGATAAAATTATAAAATTTTCGAATTTACTTACATACTTGTACATATAAAAAATTTGTAAATTTTTTTGTAATTCAAATAATTTTTTTTTCTCATGAACATTTAACAAATTTAAAAATTGACTACATTAAATAAAATGAAATTCAAATATTGAAAGCAACAGCAAAAAAGTTTTCACTTTTCAAAAAAAAATGTTCCTTCATTGGTCAAAAATTATATTAATTTATATTATATACAGAAATTTAAAATTTTTCTCACATTTCTTATTGTATATAAACAAAATTAAAAAAAAAAAAATTACAAAGAATATTATAATTAAGTTTTAAATTAAAGTGGTTTTTTAGTGTTATTTAATATTAAACAGAAAAATATTTTAAAAGCAAAATAATGTTGATTAAAAAAAATATATTTTGAACGAAACAAAAACATTTTTGAAATAAAAAAATTAAATTAAAACAATTTAATGATTTTTGTAAATTTAATAGTTTTTTTCCATGTAATTTTAAAATAAAATATTTTTTGTTTGTCGCTTTACGGAATTCGCTTACACGATTCGAAAATTAAGTTGGTTTATTCTTAAAGATGTTTAGTTAGTTTTTTTTTAAATAAAATTTTTGTTTTAATGTTTTATATGTATATATTGTTTTATAATTTTATTGTATTAAAAATAAATTTTTAGTACTATATATTGTTTTTAAATTCTCTTTTACATTTTTTTGTATTATTTTATTTTTTGTAATATTTTTAAATTTTTTATAATTTAAGACTTAAAAACAAACGAAAAGATTTTGAAGTTTTTTTAATAAAATTTTTGTGTTAATTGTTTATTATATATATATTTTTTTTAATTTTTATTAAATAAAAAAATTAAATTTATTAAAAATTAAATTTTGATTTTACTATTAATGTTTTTTTTAAATTCTTTTTTAAATATTTTTGTAATATTTTTTAAATGTTTTATACATTTTTTTTCATCGAAATTTATTTTTAAAGTTTGTTAATATATAATTTAAGGTTTAAAAACAAATAAAAAGATATAAAAGTTTTTTTTAATAAAGTTTTTTGTGTTAATTGTTTATTATATATATATTTTTTTAATTTTTATTTGTTTATGTTTTTAATTATTACGTTATATAAATATTCGATTGTAAAGTTTTTATTTCTTTTTGACTTTCAGACCAAATTCGTTTTTGCGATTCGAAAATTAATTTTCGAAAATAAAATTATGTTTAATTTTTTTTAAATATTTATATTTTATATGAATTATAGAGTGCTTTAATTTTATTTAAAAATTTTTGAAGTCTATTAAGTTTTTGTTATATTAAATTTTTTGTTATTTCTTTACATTTTTATTAAAATTTTTTTAAATCAAAAAAAAATTTTTGTTATTTCTTTACATTTTTATTAAAATTTTTTTAAATCAAAAAAAA